AGGGCACCCCCCTGCCTGTCCCTGTGGGTGGGCAGTCGGTGTCACCTGGGAGACATGGGGGTGACCTTGTCCCGGGGGGTCCCACCGGAGGGGGGCCCGTAGGCGAGCTCTGAAGCCGGCAGAGGAGCAGGCTGGAACCACAGCGCCATTTGGGCTGGAAAAGAGCTTAAAAATCATTGAGTCCAGCCATAAAGGTGACACTGCCGAGCCCAGCGCTGGCCCGTGTCCCTCAGCCCCACCTCTGCACGTCCTTCAGTGCCCCCAGGGCTGGTGACCCCCACCTCTGCACGTCCTTCAGTGCCCCCAGGGCTGGTGACCCCCACCTCTGCACGTCCTTCAGTGCCCCCAGGGCTGGTGACCCCCACCTCTGCACGTCCTTCAGTGCCCCCAGGGCTGGTGACCCCCACCTCTGCACGTCCTTCAGTGCCCCCAGGGCTGGTGACCCCCACCTCTGCACGTCCTTCAGTGCCCCCAGGGCTGGTGACCCCCACCTCTGCACGTCCTTCAGTGCCCCCAGGGCTGGTGACCCCCACCTCTGCACGTCCTTCAGTGCCCCCAGGGCTGGTGACCCCCACCTCTGCACGTCCTTCAGTGCCCCCAGGGCTGGTGACCCCCACCTCTGCACGTCCTTTAGTAGCCCCAGGGCTGGTGACTCCAGCGCTTCCCCATTGCCCGATGGCCCCTTGGGGCAGGAATGACCCTTTTGGGGAGGAATAAGCTCTGGGGGAGCTTTGCTGCTGGATGAGCTGGAGCCTGTCCCCTCCTTGCCCCAGAACCACGGAGCCCAAAGCTCAAGGCTCCTTATTTCTCTCTCCTTCATGTCTCTGTGCGGATGTGCTGGGGGGGGAACGTGGGGGGACAGTCTGGGGGCCCTCCCCTGACCCCCCGTGTCCCCCCAGTTACAAGGGGCTGGTGGCCGAGGCGCTGCGGCAGCTGGTGGGGGAGGAGTGCTACCGGCAGGACGAGGTGCTGCCCCCGGGATACTGCACAGGTAGTGGGGCTGGGGGGTACCCCCGGGTCTGGGGGGGCTGTGGGTGCAGGGGGAGGCCCAGGGCAGGGAGGTTGCTCAGGGCAGAGCTGGATCTGGCTGCTCTATCTCCTCCTTCCTGGTGACGCTGCCTTCCCCCGGCGCTGCGGGACAAGGGGGGCTCGGCTGGGCCAGTGAAGTGAGGGGTCCCCCTGCCCCCCGGCCTCCCCCCCCGGGGCAGGCAGGGTCCCTGCGCCCCTCTCCCATCTACTGGGGGGTCTGTCCCATCCATGGGGGGGTCTCTCCCATCCACAGGGGAGGGGTCTCTC